TTTTTCCAAGTGTACTCTATGTATGGATGTTCCACTCTTCTCTTAAATCCAAGCCCCTGATGGATAACTAATTTCTACATTATAGGCAATGCCTTAGTATCAATTCTTAAAAATAGAAGAGTTTACCAGGAGTGGTGGCTCACGCCTGTAATCCCAGCACTTTGGGAGGATGAGGCGAGAGGATTGCCTAAGCCCAGGGGTTTGAGACCAACCTGGGCAACTTGGTGAGACCTCGTCTCCACAATAAATAAAAAAAATTAGCTGGGAGTGGTGGCATGCACCTGTAGCTCCAGCTACTTGAAAGGCTGAGGTAGAAGGATTGCCTGAACCTAGCAGATTGAGGCTGCAGTGACCATGAGCATGTCATTACACTCCGGCCTGGGTCACAGAGTGAGATTCTGACTCAGAAAACTAGAAGAGTTGATCAAGTGGTACTTTTAATAGTTCTCATTGCAGTTGTTCGGTTCATCTCAGATTTTAATACTAGGTTATAAGTTGTCATTTTATTTAAATTTTTAAAAGCCAATAAATCATCTTTTAGTTATTGGAGCATTGATTTTTTTTTCCTCTGAGTTGGTGTTTCACTCTGTCACCCAGGCTGGAGTGCAGTGGCACGTCCATGGCCACCCCAGCGTCGACCTGCTGGGCTTAGGCGATCCTTCCGCCTCAGCCTTCCAAGTAGCCGGAACTGCAGGCATGCACTACCACATCCAGCTAATTTTTTATTTATTGTAAAGACGAGGTCTCGCCAAGTTGCCCAGGTCATTCTCGAACCTGTGGGCTCAGGCAATCCTCTCACCTTAGTCTCCCAAAGTGCTGGGGTTACAGGCTTGAGCCACTACGCCTGGCAGAGCATTGTTACTTTTATCGCTAACTAAAATCAAGGTTGAGGGCCCAATGGGTCAGGCAAAGGAGCAAGAGCTTTGGAGTTACACAGGCCTCGGTTCCTATTCCTGATCTGTGAGGATGTATCTAGCAAGGTGTATCTAAGGAGGATAGCCTCAGGCTGGACACCTCACTGAATCTCGGCTTTTTTGTAATTAAAATGGAGATAAAAGTCCCTACTTCATACAGAGTTGCCTCGAGGAGGAAAGAGAAAGGTGCCAGGTGCCCCTCCCCAGGTTGACATGGCCAGGGTCCCTCCCAGCCCTCCCTCCACGATGTCAGACCCAGGGCTGGGGGACGCATACTGCAAACACTCAGGCTGGAGCTCTAGAGGAATAAGAGGCCACGTGTGCTCCCACCAAGTTTCCTAAACAAATGAGGTGCCTTTACCCAGCAATCCTGATTGAGCTAAGGTGGCCCCAGAGGGCCCTAGGCAGTGTCCCAGAGCAGGTCACCATTCCCGGCAGCCAACAGAGGGTCAACATTGCCACAGAAAACAGCCTTCCATCTGCCAGAGCAGACGGTCTTCAGGCTGGGTGCAGTTCTGTCAACTCTGAGGGTCTGAGCCACCTGGCCAATCAGCCATCTGGTGCTTTCTCCTGGAGTCCAGACCTCTTATGGGGCCAGCGCTGCAGGTGCCGGGATAGATAATGGCTTAATGGGTATCAGAGTCACCCTTTGGTTTATCATGACACTAGGGAGGTGTGGTAAATGCGTTCATTTTTTCTAAAGAGCAGTTTTGGTGCTTGTGTCTCTACTGGGCCTTACTGGGAGACTGTGGAGGAGAGGAGGTAGCCTAGGCTCTAGACCTGAGAAGGAGACCAGGGCCCAATCCTGGTTTTCCCAGCTGTGTGACCTTGGGCAAGTCACCCACATTCTCTGAACCCCTTGAACCCTGACTCAGCCCTTGGGGGGACACTGGGCAAGCACAAGCTTTCAGAAGCTCGGTTTCCTCTTCAGGAAAAGGGGGATGATAACTTGTAAGGACTAGAGACAATGCATAGAAAGCCCCAGCACAGTACTGGGGCCGCACTTAACACTAGCACTTAGCACTCATATCTTGTATTTCTCAATGAATGGGGGGATCCCCAAGAGCAGGGATTTGGTTTCACTGTGCCCTCAAGAGCGTCTAACAGAGTATGAAATACAAATTCATAAAGGGTCACCAGAGCCATTGGCAATGACCTTCTGGCTGTCTGAGTCAGGACAAGACCCCTGGTTCCCATGTCCTCCTGAGGGTTGAGGTAGAAAGAAGGTGCCTCTCGACTCAAGAAACACAGGAAGGCATGTTGTAGATATAGCCTGTGGGAGGCAGGGTGCCATTTCCCAGCTGACAAATTGGGCTCTGAGGGTCTCAGATGGAGAGCTGCTTCCCAAGCAGCACTTCTGAGTGCCTGGGGTACCACTCAGCACCCAGAGGTTGTGCCAGCTTCTTCTGTCCCACTTCGGGGCCAAGGGTCAGTCTTCTTTCCCTCTTTGATTTTTGGTATCTGGGCTACAGGTGAAACCCTAAAGTTGGGGGGCTAAACTTCCTAAAGTGGAAGAAAACCTAAGCTCCTGATCACTGCTATGGCCATATAAGCACATTTCCAGGAGGCACTGATGGGCTCATTTCCCCATCTTTTCAGCATCCATCAGGGTGGTGACTCACTCTTTAAGGCAGGAAGAAACCAACATGAAGGACAAGGAATGTCGCGGTCATCACTAGAGTTGCCAAAGCCTGCATCTGTTGGGCAGCTGCTGGGTGCCAGGCACTGAGTTTTGCGAATCTGGATGTTCTATTTACAGAAGAGGAAACTGAGGCTTAGGAGGATAAGAAACTTGCTCAGGGCCAGAATTTGAGCCTGTGCCATCTCACTGAAAGGCCTGTGCTCTGAATCACCCTGATGCCTGAAGCACATTTGTGAGATGGGTCGGAGATCCCACAAATCCACTCACATCACAAGGCAAAAAGGCTAAACCACAAGACTCGTTCTCCTTCTGACCATCTGTCCCAGGACATGGGATTGAGGTTTGCTGGAAATTTATATGGATTAAAAACAAACAAAAAACCCAGATTTTTTAATGACTGAACAACTTTCTCCTGACACTTTCACTCTAAATGTATGGGAGTTGTCAACAGCCCAGGCAACCCTTATTAATCTCCAGGAGCCTTGCCTTCATTTACTGAAGAATGGCGAGTCCTTGGGGTGCCCCGCAATCAGGGCCAACCTAACGAAATCCAGGTCTCCTAGGGCCTTTCTACTTCATCTGGCAATTCGTTATGCCTTTAAAGAAAGGCTGAGTAAGGGAGGCTGTCCATATATTTCAGAAAAAAGGGAAGAGATGGCGAAAAGGAGAGACGGTGTTTATATTTAAGATTTCTTTTTCTTTCCAGGTTTGGGTTTGGGATTTAAACAATACTAGGCCAGGGATCAGCAGCTGCTACCAGTCTAATGCCCTCTCAGTTCTCAGGAGCATCTAGCAGCCTCATAGCAAGAACACAAAGACGACAGGAAGAAAACATAGCTGGGCTGCTTCAGGGCAGCAAAGAGAACTTTACATGTTGTGAGTTTGATTTGCTTAATGCCTGTCTCTACCAGGAAATAGGAGCCCTGTAAGGGCAGGGCCTACTGTTCTTCTAGCACCTAGAACACTGTATACCCATAACAGGCCATTAATGAAGACTTGGTCAATAATCACAGGAATTGCGAATGTATGAATGAATGTGTCATTACCCTTGATAGCTCTAATCACCAATTGCCTCATTAAATGTAGCCTTTGACCTGCCAAAATGAAGCCTCTGCAGGTTCCCCTGAGATCTGCTGACAGTGGTCACTGCTTCAGGACAGGAAAGGTGGAAGAGAGGTATGAGGTAATGATGGCATTTTCCTGGATTGCCTTCCAAAAAAACAAGGCAGAAGGGAAAAAAAGAAATAAACAAAGAGGCTGGGTGCACGCATAGTTGACACCTGTAATCCCAGCACTTAGGGAGTCCAAGGCAGAAGGATTGCTAGAGCCCAGGAGGTAGAGGCTGTGCTGAGCCATGTCCTGTGAAAATCTTTGAGAGCAGCCCAGGCAGCAGAGCAAGACCTTGTCTCTACAAAAAAGCAAAAAATTAGCCAGGTGTACTAGTGCACACCTGCAGTCCCAGCTACTCAAGAGGTTAAGGCGGAAGGATCGCCAGAGCCAGGAGGTAGAGGCTGTGCTGAGCCATGATGGTGCCACTGAACTCCAGCCTGGGAGGCAGAGTGAGACTCTGACTACAAAGAAAAAAGAAACAAGGAGGAGAATATTCAGAAGCAAGTAGAGTGGACACCCTCACCTGCCCAGCCTGAGTCCCCTGAAGCTATGGCTGGAAACAAAGCAGAAATGGTCTCTGGACAATCAAGGTTCAGAAACAAAAGCTTAGGCCTTCCTCTCAGCAGGAAAGGAGGCTGGGACCTCAGTGGAGCCCACTGAAGGCCCTACCAGGCTCCACCCATGGGACTTAAGTAGCTTTTATCATGCTCAAGAGAGGTCCCTGCCCAGGGCTGCAGTCCCTTAACATCCCTGCCCAGAGACCTTCACTACTTCATGTGGTGGTCTCTGAATTTTAACACAATTTACCTTCTGGGCTGTAGGATTTGGGAATGATTTTAAGGTCTGTGTGTGTGAGATCTGTTTTCTGCAACGACCACACAGCTCCTCCTTTTAATAACTCCCATAATTAACGTCTCACTATGTTATTCCCATCTTCCTCCCTGTCTCTGTTCTGTGTGGGTCCTGGTTCAGCCCTGGGGCCTGCTTTCTTTGTCCTGTGAAAATCTTGAGACAGTCCTTCAGATATCTCACCTAGTTATCAGCTGTCAGATTAGAGATCCCTCAGTTCTGCTGGTGGCCTCTCCCATGACCCTGCCTCCAGATTACCCCCCTCCAAACCTGTCTTTCTTTGGGTGTGGGGTGAGTCCATGCATGGTCCTCCAGAAAGGATCCAAGAGACAATTATTAAAGTCAGTCTCCAGAGACACCTGTCCTTGGTGGCCTTTTGCTACCTAGTTTGAATGACAGCGTGTTCCCTAGTCATCAACAGTGTGTTTCCAACCTTCTGCAGTTCAGCCTCTAAAGACCTCAGGTTGGCTGATGCCCAGCCAGGCTCACGCATTGTAGCTCGCTTGTCCAAAAGGCTCCAGATCCGAGGGGTTCACTGGAGCCCGGGGCCTCCCTGGGCCAGAGCTCACCTTCTGGGACTTTAACTCCTTGGTGAGCATCAGAACCTGTTGCTCCAGGGCCACCACTTTCTCCTGAGCAGTGCGGTTCCGCATGAGTCCTTCGGAAAACAGTGGGAAGGTGTTGTTCTGACGCTTGGCTTTCTGACCGAGATTGATGGTCAAAGAGGACTTGGGTGCAGACTTTGGAGAATCCTCTGGCTCTCTCCCTGCTCAAGAGGAGAAATGCAGAGATTATGACAGATGACATCACTAGTTCTCAGGCCTGAGCTTGCTTCGGGGAATCTGGAGGAGTTGTTAAAATGCAGATTCAGTATGGTGGCTCACATCTGTAATCCCAGCACTTTGGGAGGTCAAGGTGGGAGGATCACTTAAACCCAGGAGTTTGAGACCAGCCTGGACAACATAGCAAGATCCCAGTTCTACAAGACATCAAAAAAAAATTAACTGGGTGTGGTGTCGTGCACCTGTAGTTTCCCAGTTTGAACTTGAAGTTACAGTAAACTATGATTGTGCTACTGCACTCTGGCCTGGGTGACAAAACAAGAATGTGTCTCTAAAAAAAAAAAAAAAAAAAAAAATGCAGATCGTTGGGCCCTCCTTTCAGAGCTTTTGATTTAATGTGCTGGGCAGGGCTTGAGAATATGCATTTCTAAAAGGTTCCTAGTTGATGCTGATATAGCCTGTCCAGGGATCAGACTTTGAGAATCATGGGATCATATAAATATTATTTACACTGCGCTGGTTAAGTCACTTAGCTTGTCCACTAAACCGTGCCTGTCTTCTTCCCTCGGATCCCAATCTTATACCACCCTGCCAGTGTTTGCCAGGTGATTTCCTCTCAGGCATGAGCCCTGGCAGAATGTTTGTTTCTTATTTCAGGACTCATCTCTACCCACTGGGAGGCTTTCAAAGCACACAGAACTGTCTGTTGATAGCAACAAAGAATGACTACCTGCACTCTGCATTCCTGCTCCAGAGAGCAGTTCAGCTCAACTCTGACTTGATTTTTTTTTTTTTTTTACTCCAACAAATAAACTGTGTTTACTTATGGATGGCTTGTTTTGTACCCTTATTCTGATGTGTACTTAGTATTAAAGGTGTATTTTTTTAAGTGGTCTAAGACTGGGAGCACACTTTAGCCAATGTTTATGCCCTTGTCCAAAAATTTAGTAACTGAGTAGAGTTCAAGAGATTGAATATTTTCTGGGGTTTTTTTTGTCTTTGTTTGGAGTCTCACTCTGTCACCCAGGCTGGAGTGCAGTGGCACACTCATGGTCACCCCAGCGTCAACCTGTTGGGTTCCAGCGATCCTTCCAAGTAGCCAGAACTATTGGCGTGCACTACCACACTCAACTAATTTTTTTTTTTTAATTGTAGAGACGAGGTCTCACCAAGTTGCCCAGGCTGGTCTCGAACCCACGGGCTCAGGCAATCCACTTGCCTCAGCCTCCCAAAGTGCCGGGATTAAAGGCTGAGCAGCTAGAGACTGAATATTTTCAAGAGTTTCTAAAGAGGGATTACTGCATTTTCCTGGAATCTTTTTTTTTTTTGAGTTGGAGTCTCACTCTGTCACCCAGACTGGAGTGCAATGGCCGCTCTGGGCCACCGCAGCCTCGACCTGCTGGGCTCCGGCGATCCTTCCGCCTCAGCCTTCCAAGTAGCTGGAACTACAGGCGTGTGCTACCACACCCAGCTAATTTTTGATTTATTGTAGAGATGAGGTCTTGTCAAGTTGTCCAGGCGGGTCTCGAACCGGCGGGCTCAGCCAATCCACTCACCTCGGCCTCCCAAAGTGCTGGGATTACAGGCTGAGCCACCGAGCCCGGCCTTTCCTGGAATCTTATGTGAACATAGTTTATAATTGAAAATGAATAAGCCGGGCACAGTGACTCATGCCTGTAATCTCAGCACTTTGAGAGACAGAGGTGAGAGAATTGCCTGAGCCCATAGGTTTGAGAACAGCCTGGGCAACTTAGAGACCTCATCTCTACGATAAATCAAAAAACTAGCTGGGTGTGGTGGCGCACACCTATAGTTCCAGATACTTGAAAGGTTGAAGCGGAAGGACCACCTGAGCCCAGCAGGTCAAGGCTACAGTGGCTGTGAGCAAGCTACTACACTCCAGCCTGGGCGACAGAGTGAGACTCCAACCCAAAAATAAATAAATAAATAAATAAATAAATAATGAATACAATAATTTCTTCACTGAGAGAAGCTGCCTTAATGCTGCCATTGTCCAGCCCTTGTTTTTCTGCCCAAACAGGTGTTTCTGCTGTTCGTCCAGCAGGGTCTTAGGATTCTTACTCCAAGCTAAATTAGGAGACATATTTCCCACAGTGAAATATGTTTTGTGCCTCAAAGCTGCACAGTCCTTTTATTTCTTCTAGAGCAAGGGCTAGAAACCTACAACTACAGCTCACAGACCAAATCCAGCTCACAGCTTGCCTTTCTAAGCACAGTTTTATAAGAATACAGCCATACCCATCTGTTTATATGTTGCTTATGGTTGCTTTCACTCCTCAGAGGCGGGGCTGAGTACTTACAACAGACACCCTAGAGCCTCTAAACCCTCATATACTCACTATCCAGCTCTTTACAAAAAGCGTTTGCCAACCACTATTAGCAAGTCACCCAGTTTTAGCCTTAAATCCAACATCAGCGAATTCATCCCTTAGGCTCTGCCATCAGCCTACATCAAAGGCACTTAGTGGGCAGATTATGTGGTCAAGAGACGCCAAGAAGCTTGTTCACAAGGGACATACACATGACTGCCATGAGGCCCCAGCATTCTCTTCAGCCCTTGGTGCTAGAAAAAGCTTTGCTGCTTCTCTTTTTTTTTTTGAGTTGGAGTCTTACTCTGTCGCCCAGACTGGAGTGCAGTGACCGCTCCCAGCCACCGCAGCCTCGACCTGCTGGGCTCCAGCGAGCCTTCCGCCTCAGCCTTCCAAGTAGCTGGAACTACAGGCGCACGCAACCACGCCTGGCTAATTTTTTTATTTATTGCAGAGATGAGGTCTCGCCAATTTGCCCAGGCGGGTCTCGAACCCGTGGGCTCAGGCAATCCACTCACCTCAGCCTCCCAAAGCGCGGGATTACAGGCTGAGCCACCGAGCCCGGCTAAGTTTTGCTTCTTCTAAGAAAATATGTTTTTTGTCTTATGGACACTGGAAGTAATCTACCCTTTGCCTTGACTGCTGAGAAGCTCAGAGTCACCTTTGCTACCCCCTTTAGATACTCTATAGGGTCTTACCCTGCTCTTACCTAAATCTCCTAACCCAAATGGCTCTTTTGTGTGACTATATGTAGTTTAATAAATTAATACCAATCTTTTTGGGACTAAGGTACTAAAAATTAGGATGTGGTATGGGATCTCAGGAGAGGGACCCAGCAGGGCTTGGGGGATGGGCTGAATGACTCAGCATGAGTCCAGGCTAAGGACTGGCCAGTCTTGAAAAGAAAAAGAATTATTCCAGGCTAGGTGTGGTGACTCACTCCTGTAGTCCCAGCTCTTTGGGAGGCAGAGGTGAGAGGACTGCCTGAGCCCAAGGGTTTAAGATCAGCCTGGGCAACTTGGTGAGAACTTGTCTCTACAAGTTAAATTTAAAAAAACTTGTCTCTACAAGTTAAATTTTAAAAAATTAGCTAGGAGTGGTGGTGCATGTCTGTTGTTCCAGCTACCTGGAAAGCTGAGGTGGAAGGATCACCTGAGCCCAACAGGTCAAGGCTGCATGAGCATGCCACTACACTCCAGCCTGGGTGATAGAGTGAGACTCTGACTCAAAAAAAAAAAAAGAATTACTCCAGTAGGTGACAGGAATCTGACACTCCTTGGCCTTGCTGGGTGCAAGAACAGAATGGTCTTGGTCTTGTTCCAGACCTAAGAGAAATCCAGTTGCACTGGGTACAAAGCAGCCCAGTGAGGTCAGAGGGCTATAGTGTCTCTTTTTCTTTCCTGTTATGGGGTCTAGGAGGGCAGGGATGCTCCCTGGAGTCTGCTACCTTCTTATAATACTACTACATCAACCTTGAGGGCAGACGGGGTAGGGACCACTGTGCGTATATTATAGTTGGAGAAAACGAGGCCGAAGACAGTGGTTTTCAATCAGTGACCTGGGATTTCCTGGGAGTGCCTCAAGGGCTGATCAGGAGGGGAAGGTGGGGTGGGAGGAACAGAGGAGTTCAGTCCTGCATTTATCTGTTTTCTATATTAAGTTTTGTGTTGGGGGATAAGTTTTCATGGCAAAAAAGAATGTAGTTTGAAAAATCACTGACTTCGAAAATGAGACTTCAGGCAGCAGCAGACTGCTCAGATTGAACCTGTCACTCTGTGTGGCTGCCAGTGAGGCATTCCACTTTTCCATGCCTCAGTTTCCTTATCTGTAACATGAGGATAACAACAGTATCTATAGTTCTAGTTGCTGTAAGGGTAAAGTGCTCGGCACACTCGAAAAGATTCTGCTAAACAAAAGAAGCAGTCACAAAAGATGGCATGAGCATATTCCGTTCATACCAAGTATCCAGAACAGGCACATACATAGACAGAAAGTGAATTGGCGGCCGCCTAGGGTTAAGGGAGGTAGGGACTGTGGTTGATGGCTAAGGATGCAGGGTTTTGGGGAGAGTAATAATATGTTCTAAAATTAATTATAGTGATGGATGTATATAACTCTGTGGAGAGGCTGAAAGCGACTGAATTTTAGATGGGTGAATTATATAATATGAATTATACCTTAATAAAATGTTTAGTACAGCCCAGGTACAAAGTAACTGCTATATAACATCTAGTTTTATTCTGACTATTATTGATGCGATACAGTACTGACTCCCAGGACTGCTCACTGTGCTCTCTGACCTCATCAGGCATTGACAGCTGCAAAGGGTGCTTTTTCTCGTCACTTCTATGCAGCCCAGGGGTTCCCTCTGCCATGAAAAGACCTCACAGCGCTGCCTTAGCAGCTTTCTCCCAATTGTTTCTGAGTTAAAATATGTGGTAAAGCCGCTCCTGCCAATTCCAAAGAAGTCAACTCAGCCCTCTGATGGTGTGGGTTACTCACATTTTGTGAAAGAAACAATAAAATGCTATGTCAACCTAAAGGCCATTTGTTCCACATCTTGAGGTAGATCTTATTTTAATCACCTCAGATAGGCATTTTTACGCCCTTTCCCTATAAACTTTTTTTATGAAAGAAGGAAAGAAAAAACAAGAGCAATATTTTCCTTTATTACTTCCAAGAACCATAGCTAAGGGTTTCAATTTGGGAAGATGAAAAAGTTCTGGAGATGGATGGTGGTAATGGTTGCTCAATAGTGTGAATGTACTTATGGTCTCTGAACATTACAACCGAAAATGGTAAATTTTGTTGTGTGTGTGTGTGTGTGTGTGTGTGTGTGTGTGTGTGTATATATAGAAAGAATATATATATATATAAAGAATATATACATATATATATATATATTCTTTTTTTTTTCACTCTGTTGCCCAGACTGGAGTGTAGTGGCCACTCCCGGCCACCGCAGCCTTGACCTGCTGGGCTCCGGCGATCCTTCCGCCTCAGCTTTCCAAGTAGCCGGAATTACAGGCATGCGCTACCATGCCCGGCTGATTTTTTGATTTATTGTAGAGATGAGGTCTCGCCAAGTTGCTCAGGTAGGTCTCGAACCCGCGGGCTCAGGCAATCCACTCACCTCAGCCTCCCAAAGGTGCGGGATTACAGGCTGAGCCACTGAGCCCGGTTTGTTATGTATATTTTACAACCAAAAAAAAAAAAGCTTCATTGTTCCTAAACATCTGGAAACCCAGGAGGAGTGACCTGGAGAGTTTCATCTTTGACATACTGCTTGTGGATTGAATGTCTTCCCCTCCATCCATTTGAAGGGGAAGCCCTAATACCCAATGTGATGGTATTTGGAGTTGGGGCCTTTGGAAGGTGATCAGATTGAGAAGGTTATGAGGTTAGAGCCACTGATGAGATCAGTACACTTAGAAAAAGAAACCAGAGCTCTTTCTTTCAGTCATGTGAGCACAGAAAGAGAAGACGGCTATCTACAAGCCAGGAAGAGAACCCTCACCAGACACAATCTGTTGGCACCCTGATCTTGGACCTTCCAGTCTCCACACAACTGTGAGACATAATGTCTGTTATTCAAGCCACACAGTCTATAGTATCTTGGTACAGCAGCCCAAGCAGACTAAGACACTCACAAATGTACAGACGGTGGTTTGCAGAGGAAAGAAATCACTCATTCCAGCCCTGAGGGGCTGGTCTCTGAAGGCAGCTTAGACCTGGACAGAGGCTCACCTGGGGTGCCGGGGTCATGGGCCGAGGGCTGCTCCTCCCTTTGAGACTCCACGCTCTGTGGAGAATCTTCCCCTGGAGCTCCATGGCCCGTTCCTGGGGCCTGCTTGTTGCCACGGATGTTGTGCATCGTGTTTCTGAAAGGAGACAAGAACAGAGGAACACACAGCTGACAGCCCTGTGTCCCTCTGCCCTTCCTTCTGCCCCTGCTGGAGCTCAAGCTTCATCCTGACACTCCACCATCCTCACCAGCGGTCTCCCAGACTCCAGGCACCTTGCAGACACATCCCCACACACGCCACTCCCAATCTCCTTTACCCTTCTCCTTCGCACTTACCACCTTCCATATACTTTATGGCTTATAAGCAATATATGCTTGACTCTCTCACCCTCAACCCTGCTACTGCAATATAAGCTCCATGAGGGCAGGGATGCTTGTCTGTTCCATTTACTGATGCATCTAGAATGCCTAGAACAGTGTCAACACATGGAAGGTGCTTAATATGGATGTGTTGAATGAATGTTGAATGGACTTGCTGATCTAACTTTCCCAAAACTTCCATCTGGTTTCATAACTATTTTGCTCAAAAGCTCCCTACTTCTGCTGAGATCAGTTGCAAACATCTCCTGGTGTTCTTCCCTCTTGCTCTCTTTGCCTTCTTAGATCTGTCCTCTCTGCAGCCCTCCCTGACCATCTCACATCCTCCAAGAAGCTTACTGCACCTCGGGTCCCCTCCTACTGTGGGAGCTTTTCTGTCCTCTCAGTAAATACTGCTTTCTAAAAAAACAAAACAAAACTGGGCACTAACACACCTGCATGTCTGAAAGGCCAGGTGAAACTAAAGTAAATCAGCTAGACTCAGATGTGTGAAAATGAAATGTTTATTATTATATTATGTGTATTATTACATTATATGTATTATTATACGATACTGATTTCAGAAGTGGTTTGTTTGCAGCATTATTCTAGTGAATGGTAACTAAGCTGTAAGTTTGCACAGAGATTAGTTGCTGATACCAGAAACCTAGAGTCTAGGATGCAAGAGAGGAAAGAAAACAAGATCCTGGACCCACACAACGTGACACTGGGTTGTATGTGCCAGAGATCAGGTTCAATACGTTTGCTTTTTTTTTTTTTTTTTTTTTGAGTTGGAGTCTCACTCTGTCACTCAGACTGGAGTGCAGTGGCCACTCCCGGTCATTGCAGCCTTGACCTGCTGAGCTCTGGCGATCCCTCTGCCTCAGCCTTCCAAGTAGTTGGAACTACAGGCGTGTACTACCACGCCCAGCTAATTTTTGATTTATGGTAGAGATGAGGTCTCGCCAAGTTGCCCAGGCGGGTCTCGAACCCGTGGGCTCAGGCAATCCATTCACCTCGGCCTCTCAAAGCGCTGGGATTACAGGCTGAGCCACAGAGCCTGGCCGCATGTTTGCTTTATAGGAAGGAAGTAGGTAGCATTGAAGGCTAGCCTAAGACCACAGACCACAGAGAAATTAATGATGAGCCGGATGAAAACAGAGCTCAGTTGAGTTTCTTTTCCCATGCAAAGAGGTAAAAGTAGACATATTCCAAGATTAATAGCAAGGAAGACAAAATGATTAAGAGTTCACTATGGGGCCGGGCGCATGCCTATAATCCCAGCACTTTGGGAGGCCGAGGTGACAGGACTGCCTGAGCCCATGGGTTTGAGACCAGCCTAGGCAACTTGGCGAGACCTCATCTCTACAATAAATCAAAAAATTAGCCGGGCATGGTGGCATGTGCCTGTAGTTCCAGCAACTTGAAAGCCTGAGGCGGAAGGATCGCCTGAACCCAGCAGATCGAGGCTGCAGTGGCCGTGAGCTTGCCACTGCACTCCAGCCTGGGCAACAGAGTGAAATTCCTAGCCAAAAAAAAAGGTTTACTATGTCAGTGTTTCAGACTATAGACCATGACCCACTAGTGGATTGTAAATCAGTAGTATCATGACTAGCCTCTAAAAATGAAATAGAAAATATAAGTGTGCATTCCACTTAATAAACATTAATACTTTGTGAGTTGTATATACACATAGTAAGCTTAAGCAAAAAAATGTATTTCTTACTGTGGTCATGACCAACAGTTTGAAAAACACTGTACTCAGAGGGTATTTACTTAACAGGCAGCTTTACTGTGGTCAAAAATGCGGAAGTGAAAGTTTATAGACCTGTGTTGGGGAGCTGCCTTTGTTATACAATCCTTATGTGCAATGTATACTTCTAGCAATACGGTGGACAAATTACTCTGAAAAACTCTCACTCCACAAAGATCGAAACATATTTTTAAAATACCTAGCTTAAGTCCCAGTAAAGGAAGGAAACTCCAGGAACTAAACATGAAAAAGAACACGAAACTCAAGTGGGAAATAAGGAGATAGATACATGTATAGCTTAGATTATTGTTCAGTAAATAGTCACCCCCTCTCCCACACCTCCACGGGAGCAGCTTACTTCCCCTTCTTCCTCTTGACTTTGGGTGTGGCCATGTGGCTGGCTTTGGCCAAATTCACATTAGCAGATATGGTATAAACACGGGCTTCAAATGTGCTTGCATGTAGGGTGTGACTTGTACTCCTGCTTTTCATTATGGAAAGAACATGCCTCTGGTAGCTACTTGTCCATGGAAGATAAGAAACACCGAAGGGTATACCTAGATCCTACTGACAGCTTGGGGCCAAGACCATGTGAACTAAACGTAAATCAGTTAGACTTAGATGTGTGAAAATGAAATGTTTATTATTATATGGCACTGAATTCAGAAGTGATTTGTTTGCAGCATTATTATTATTATCATTATTTTTGAGTTCGGAGTCTCACTCTGTTGCCCAGGCTGGAGTGCAGTGGCATGCTCATGGCCACCACGGGCTTGACCTGCTGGGCTGGGCTCAGGCAACCCTTCCTCAGGCTTCCAAGAAGCTGGAACTACAGGCATGTGCCACCATGCCCGGTTAACTTTTTGACTTATTGTACAGGTGAGGTCTTGCCAAGTTGCCCAGGCTGGTCTCAAACCCCTGGGCTCAGGCAATCCTCTCACCTCAGCCTCCCAAAGTGCTGGGATTACAGGCTTGAGCCACCATGCCCAGCTGCAGCACTATTATATTGAACGTTAACTAGTATATAAGATTGCACAGGAATTAACTGCTGATACCAGAAACCTAGAGCCTAAGCTTCAACAGAGGAAAGAAAACAATGTTAGAATTGAGATACCTACACAAAGCTGAAGCTCTTGAAGGCCTATACCCTCTGTGAAGAGATGGGTTTAAAAAATGCCTGTTGGTGGATACGGTGGCTCACTGTAATCCCAGCACTTTGGGAGGTGGAGGTGAGAGGATTGCTTGAACCCAGGGGTTTTAGGACCAGTCGGAGCAACTTGGCAAGACCTTGTCTCTACAATAAATAAAAAAAATTAGCTGGGCATGATGGCATGCACCAGTAGTTCCAGCTACTTGGAAGGCTGAGGTAGAAGGATCACCTATACCCAGCAGGTTGAGGCTGCAGTGGCTGTGAGTATGCCAATGCACTCTAGCCTAAGCAACAGAGTGAGACTCAAAAAATAAAAAATAAAAAAAGCCTGTTGACAACATTGACATGAGAACATTCTGGGTAAAGGCTCTCTAACTGTCAAACAACAACAAAAATGTCTTAGCTAGGCATGGTAGCACACAGCTGTAGCCCTAGCTACTCAGGAGGCTGAGGCAGGAGGATAGCTTCAGCCCAGGAGTTCTGATCATGCCACTGCACTCTAGTTTGGGAGACAAAATAAGACTCCATCTTAAAAAAATAAATATCTCCTCCAAAAACTTGAAATCACAGAGCTGCCTTCATGTGCATGTGGGGTTTATGTTTATATTAGTAAGAAATTTCAAACCAAGGTATTAAATTAAAATGATTCCAGGTTGGTCACACCTCTAGGTTAGCATATATTCTCTATACTGGGACATACCTCAATTCATGTTTCTCAGTATTTCCATAAGTAAAGATCAACCAAAGCTGAACACACAATATAACATTTAAACACTCCAGAAAACAAGACACTGTAAATGGAAGGCAGAACAACAGCAAACAGCATAACTAGGACTTCAAATATTAGAATTACTAGATAAGGACTATAAAACAATGATAACAGCTGGGCATGGTAGTACATGCCTGTAGTCCCAGCTGCTTGGGAGTCTGAGGTGAGAGGATCACTTGAGCCCAGTAGTTTGAGACCTGGGCAACACACTGAGAACCCAATTAAAAAAAAAAAAACACTTTTAAAAACACTACATACCTGGGCAGCGAGACCTCATCTCTACAATAAATCAAAAAATCAGCTGGGTATGGTAGCACATGCCTGTAATTCCGGCTACTTGGAAGGCTGAGGTGGAAGGATTGCCGGAGTCCAGCAGGTCGAGGCTGCGGTGGCCAGGAGCGGCCACTGCACTCTAGTCTGGGCGACAGAGTGAGACGCCAACTCAAAAAACAAAACAACAACAACAAAAACACTACATAATGGCCAGGCGCGGTGGCTTACGCCTATAATCTCAGCACTTTGGGAGGTCAAGGTGACAGGACTACCTGAGCCCATGGGTTTGAGACCAGCCTAAGCAACTTGGCGAGACCTCATCTCTATAATAAATCAAAAAATTAGCCGGGCATGGTGGTACGTGCCTGTAGTTCCATCTACTTGGAAAGCTGAGGCAGAAGGATCACCTGAGCCCAGCAGGTCGAGGCTGCAATGGCTGTGAGTGTGCCACTGCACACCAGCCTGGGTGACAGACTGAGACTCCAACTCAAAAAAACAAAAACAAAAGAACACTACATACTAATTAAGAAATACAACATGAAATCTTTAGACTAAGGAGTATAAAAATAACTAGGTATAGTAGAAAGAGAATCAAACAGAATTTATAGAAATGTAAACTATAATCATAATATATAAATATATTTTATATAAATATAAATATATTTTATATAAATATAAAAGAGCAGATTAGACATAAATAATGGGAAAAATTGATGGACTGAAAGATGTAAATAAATTCCTCGGTATTCAGCAAAGAGTCAGAGATAACAAATATGACAGAGTGGTTAGGGATACAGAGAGCAACCAAATGGTCTAACTGTGTAATGCTTCTCAACTTCAGTGTGCTTAAGCATCACCAGAAGATCATGGATTTCAGGTCCCACAAGCCACATGAGTGGGAGGTGCCTCAAGTGCACATTCTACAGCCAGAGGCACTAGCTGTGTGGGGTGGCCATCATTACTGCCCACACTTGCCCTTGTCCAGGAACTGCAGCCTCCCCAACATGTCCCAGGGTTAACAAGCAGTTATTCCTAGGACATGGAAGGGCATACATAATCCCAACTTTAGGGAAGCACCAGCCCTCTAAACTCTAGCACACATCTCCTCTGGGGACAGGGAACTCACTTCCTTCTGAAGTAGTACAGGTAATCACCACTCAGCTAAACCACTGTGCTTGGGAGAAGCATCCCCAGTTTATAAATGTATCAACCTAGGTCGGGCACGGTGGCTCACACCTATAATTCCAGGACTTTGGGAGGCTGAGGTAAGAGGACTGTCTGAGCTCACAGGTTCAAGACTAGCCTGGGCAACTTGGCAAGACCTCACCTCTACAATAAATCAAAAAATTAGTTGGGCATGGTGGTGCGTGCCTGTACTTCCAGCTACTTGGAAGGATCACCTGAGCCCAGCAGATCGAGGCTGCAGTGGCCATAAGTGTGCCATTGCACTCCAGCCTGGGCAACAAAGTGAGACTCCAACTCGAAAAATAAATAAATAAAAAATAAATGTATCAACTTTGTTTGGAGCAGTGCATAGACCACTTTCTGTTTAGGTTTAACTCCAGATCTGAAAGGCCCAGCCACAGCACAGGCCATAAAGACTTGCTCTGGAAGGATTACCTTGAGTGAACCAATTACCATCCCTGAACCTCTGTTTCCTCATGTGCAATGGGGATGATGAACATATCAACAACGAACACTGGTTGGGCCCTTCCGTGGCCAAGTTCTATACTACACAGTATAATGCAATTCACTGATTTAATCTTCACAATAACCCAATGAAGTAAGTACTATTATCATCCCCACTGGGCAGAGAGAATTGAGATTCAAGAGGATGAGTAACCCAAACCACAGAGCTAGTAAGTGGTGGGGCTGAGCATCAGACCTGGATGTCCATGCAGCTCCATTGTTTCAGAACTTGACCATGTTATGACACCACTTTACAGGTGTGTCCAGAAAACTCAACAAGAACATAACACACCGAGCACCGTGCTCAGGAAGCTCCCCATTCCCTTCCCCTGAGCATGACCCGGGCTCACGGCAGCACCAACAGCAAGCTCCAAGACCAGCCAGGGGGAAAGGGATGAGGACATGAAGGCAGAGTTGATCACCAAGTTGTCTGGGGCTCTCAGCAGCCCAGGGCTCTTCTCTCGCAGCGTTGCCTAGCATTTTCTGTGGGCTATTACGAATGGCAGGAGGGAAGTGACGGCCTGATCCCCTGAAACTTCCTTCCTTTCTTGGTCTCTGCATTTTCTCTGTTCCGCTTCTGCTGCTGTGGCCTCCATCAGGCACAGACTCGGCTTAATCTTGTTGAGACTGTCCTGAGTGCATGCTGGCTAGACGGCTGGACTTCTCAGGCCTCCTCTCGGCCCGATACACTCCCAGTGCACCCAGTTCCCCTCAGCTCCTTCTGAGGAGTGATCCTCTGTAGGGTGTCCTCCTCGTCCACTTACTGTGGGGGGTTCAACCATGTTCTATATCCCTCAAGCCTCCTTCTCCAGCTCAGATCTCTCTCCTCAGCTCCAGACCCCTCCATTCAAATGTCTGTGGGGTAGCTCTACCTCCAGCCAGCAGGCTCCAGAGAGCACTGATGGTCTTTTCCCTAAAACCTGCTTCTCTCCTGGGAAAGGCATCATCATCCTCCCAATCACCCAAGCAAATTCAAATACTAAACTGGCAGAGAGAAATGCTGTGCCTGATTCACACAGAGCCCGGGTCCCTAATCCAAGTCCAGTGAGCAATCTATTCTGCCTTATAAGAGGTCCCAGTTTATCTAAAGCCCATGCAGAAAATAAGCACCCAAACAGGATCAGTATTGGGTATTATTTACATTTTTTAACTTCTCAGTGCCTTCACCTAGAACATCAGAAATAGCAGCTAATATTTCTTACATCTTAAGACTGTCAAGCACAGTTCTAAATAAGTTTGCAAGCATTAGCCCTTTTAACCCCCGTGCTAAGCTGATAAGGCAAGTACTGTTGTATGTACATTTACTAGCAAGGTAAGTGACACACTGAGAAATAACCTGCAAATGGCAGCACAGCCTACAACTGATGGAAACGGGATACAAACCCAGGCAGTTTGGCTTCAAAGTCCAGGCTGTCTTGCTACCTTCTCATAAGTATTTAGAAACAAAGCCTGACAACAGGAACATGTATATAGAACACATTATTCAATGAAAAAAGTAGTGGAGATATGACTGACACAATAAATTGCACATGTTAAAAGTAAATAAGCTGACACATTTGACATGTATAAGACATTTGTGAAACTATCACTACATTCCATTTAATATGATCTCAAGTATGCCTACATGTATATATAAAAGGTAGAGGAAAGAGATGTAATGCTAAGAATGTTTGGATGACAGAATTATAGGTAATAAAAAAAAATTGTAGCCAGGCATGGTGGCTCACTCTTGTAATCCTACAACTTTGGGAGGCAGAGGCAAGAGGATTGCCTGAGCCCAGGGCTCGAGACCAGCCTGGGTAACTTGGCGAGACTTTGTCTCTGCAATAAATAAAATAATTAGCTGGGCATGGCATGTGCTTGTAGTTCCAGCTACTTGGAAGGATGAGGCAGAAGGATCACCTGAGGCCAGCAAGTTGAGACTGCCGTGGCCATGTGCAGGCCACTGCACTCCAGCCTGAGAGACAGAGTGAGACTCCAACTCAAACAATAAAAGACTAAAAAATGAAAATTTGTATTTATAGCACCATTTAAAAAAAAAGATAGGGTCTTGCTATGTTGTCCGGGCTGGACTTGAGCTCCTGGGCTCAAGTGATCCTTCCACCTCAGCCCTCCTGAGTAGCTAGGACTATAGATGTTCACCACCATGCTCGACGAGTAATTTTTAATTTATATCTCTTCAGATGCTCCTGATTTCCTATGGTGAAGATGTACTATTTTTCTGATCAGAATGATGAATGCAATATTTTAAAATGATGATGTGATTCATTGAAAATAAAATTCATTGCCCTCTCCCCTGGCCCACCTCCCTGCAGCGAAATCACACCAGGTCGAGCCTGGCAAAAGGGCCTGCCTAGAGTTTGGCTGGCCCACAGCCCCACCTGAACTTACTGTATTTCAGTTCCCAGGTGCTTGAGGGAAATATTCTGGAGGGCCAAGGGCATGGCAGGGACTGGCTGCATGGCAGCTGCCACACCTACAAGCCCAGTGGGCGTTTTCACAGGGCACAGGAACTCCTCCACCTCCACCTTCTCTTGCCCTGGGGAACAAAAGGAAGGGAAATCAATCCACCTGGGTCATGAGGAGAAGACTGGATGGCTGGGACAGTATGGGTGCAGCCCTGACTAGCAGCAGGCAGGAATTGGAGAGCTACAGGAGTGAGTAAGCCTTTCCCGGAGGTTAACAACAGCAAAAGAGGCTGCCACCAAATGTTCTGGCACCAGTAGAATGATGCAGTGCATTTTGCTGGTACAGCCCTCCTGGAAATCCTTAAAATATATGCAGACCTAGCTGGGTGTAGTGGTTCAAGCCTGTAATCCCAGCACTTTGGGAGGCCGAGGTAAGAGGATTGTCTGAGCTCAGGGGTTCGAGACCAGCCTGGGCAACTTGGTGAGATCTCATCTTTACAGTAAATCAAAAACTTAGCCAGACATGGTGGTGAGTGCCTGTGGTTCTGGCTACTTGGAAGGCTGAGGCAGAAGAATCGCCTGAGCCCAGCAGGTCAACGCTGGGGTGGCCGTGAGCTTGCTACTACACTTCAGACTGAGAGACAGAGTGAGACTCTGACTCAAAAAAAAAAAAAAAAAAAAGCAGACCTGCACATACATCTGAGAGCCCATCCTAAAAACGTGAGAAATGCAGACACAATTTTATGTGTCAAGAGGTTCATCCAGCCTTGCTTATAATAGCCTCAGGCTGGAAATAACTTAAAGATCTAAAACCTGGGCACAGGTTAAGTAGGTCACAGTGCGGTCACAATGGAATATTATTCAAGCATCTAAAATGATGTTAATGGATGCTTAATAGCACAGCGAATGTGCAGAGAATATAATATTAAGCCAGATTACAGATGGGAGCTATGGTATGATCTCAACTGTGTAGAAAAAGTCTCAAAGAAATAAACCCCACAATCTTAACAGCAGTTAGAGCTGAATGATGGGATCTGAAATGAAGTTATTCTCATGCAATTTTACTCTTTTCCCCCAAATTTTCTAAAGTAAACCTAGGTTAATTTATAAACAAAAAAATACATATTTATCAAAAGCATATGTTTATAAAGAGATTTTCAAATATAGGGAAATGTAAGGGTCGTACTACTGAGTTATCAAAAGGTAAAGCAGGACGTTTTATATTATTATACAATCCAAAAAATGTTTACATAAAAGGGGGCAGGAGCTTTTACTGTCTCTGGGTAATAGGAGTATGGGTATTTTTTCTGTTTTCCAAATGTTCTGCTTAAACAATGATTCTTCCACAGTGAGTGACTTCAAAATGTTTAATGTTAAGGAAGGGTTTAAGGCTAAGGAAACATTACATGGAGTATAAAAGAGAGGAGGAAAATATTTAGAAATTAACTTTGAGTGTTACAAAAAGTGGAAAAGAGCCTTATGGGTTGCTATGATTTTGATCAGGCAGCCTCTGAGACCTAAGGGCAGAAGACATTTTTCATGTCCACATGCCTTCTTACTGAGAGGTTGAAAAATTTAGGGGTAGAGATTTGTTTATGCTTGACATCTACCAAAAGGGTGTGGGTACAAAAATATTAAATACAGTGGTGGGAGCAGGGGTTGCTGTTAAGTCTATTTAAGAACACAAACTGCAATCAATGAAACAACATTTGATAATTCCTAATGGGTTCCGTCAGATCTGGCAGGCTGGCCAGTCACATTACTCAAAGACCACTTTGAGGTCTCATCTTCAATTCACCCTCCACCAAACACAGAATGGGTGTCTACCCTGAGGCTTCCAGCTGGGGCTGGAGAAAGTGAGATGAAGCAAACTTGAAGTTCACAGCCTAAGGAGCAGGGAAGAAGAACTGCACACCTTGGGAACACCAGGTGGGCAGGAGCTGGGGTGGGGGTAGTTCTGGGAGATGGAGATAGAGTCCTTCCAATCCAGGCCAGGGAAGACTTCTTGGAGGAGGGGCACTGCAGCTGGGCCTTGAGGACTGGAGTTGATTTGGACTTGCAGGAGGAAGGATCTTTCTGTGCCAAGCATACGTACAGGCAACAGCAAGGTGTTCCAGATCCAGAGCTGAGTTGGCGGGAGGAACCCAGGGGAGACAGGGCTGGGAAGGCCAAATGGAAGCAGGTGTGGCCAAGAGGCTGGATTTCAACAGGATGGAGACCAGAGCTCCTGGGGGTTTGCAGTGGCGTGAAGTAGTACTGAACCTGGCTTGGGTTGGAAGATTTGAAACCAATCCCTGTTTCCACAGGGAGGTTGCTATGACCTGGCTGGACATCACTTAAAACAAACAAAAAAAGAGCCGGGCTTGGTGGCTCAGCCTGTAATCCCGCGCCTTTGGGAGGTTGAGGTGAGTGGATTGCCTGAGCCCACAGGTTCAAGACCCTCCTGGGCAGCGAGACCTCATCTCTACAATAAATCAAAAAATCAGCCGGGCGTGGTAGCACATGCCTGTAATTCCACCTACTTGGAAGGCTGAGGCAGAAGGATCACTGGAGCCCAGCAGGTCAAGGCTGTGGTGGCCGGGAGTGGCCACTGCACTCCAGTCTGGATGACAGAGTGAGACTCCAACTCAAAAAAAAAGAAACCAGGAAGAATACGCTCCACTTTGTCTCCTTCAGAGTTAAAGTACATGAAAATGAGAAGGATGGAAGGCTGAGGCGGAAGGATCACCGGAGCCCAGCAGGTCGAGGCTGCAGTAGCTGGGAACGGCCACTGCACTCCAATCTGGGTGACAGAGTGAGACTCCAACTCAAAAAAAAAGAAAAAGAAAAAAAAAGAAAATGAGAAGGAAACCAGAAAGTCCCGTATCATGGACTCTCATCTTTCAAAGTAGTCGTTAATCCAGATTTTGAGTTGGTTCAAGATGAACAAAATTTTATTGTTTATCAATACTTTTATTCTCTTTATTTTTCCTCACTCAAAGCAAACAAAACAACTACAGTTTTTCTAAGACTTTAAGCAAGTACTTCCCCAACTGCCAATGTCTGCTTTCCTATAACTGCCACTAGATCTACTTTGAGGCCACATATAACTAAATCTTGGGGATTAAATGTCATCACCGGTTGGCTTTACCAATGGGGAAATAGCGGCTTAGAGGGTGAGTTTTGTGGCCAAGGTCAAAGTTAGCAGGTGATAAAGTTAGAGACTCAATCGCAGTTTTTCACTTTTGCTTTTCTCACTAAATCATATGGTCTATCAGAGCAGCTTTCCTTCTTTCCTTCCTTCCTTCCTTCCTTCCTTTCTTCCTTCCTTCCTTCCTTCCCTTCCCGTCCCTTTCCTTCTTCCTCTCTTTCTCTCTGTCTTTCTGGGTTTTTTTGTTTGTTTGTTTTTAGTCATGGTCTCACTCTGTTGCCCAGGCTGGAGTGCAGCGGCACAATCACAGTTCACCGCAGCCTCAAACTCCTGGGCTCAAGTGATCTCATCTCAGTTTTCCAAGTAGCTGGGACTACAGCCTTGCGCCACCATGCCCAGCTTACTGTTTATTTTTGGTAGAGATGAGCTCTCACAATGTTGCTCAGGTTGTTCTTGAACTCCTGGGCTCAAGTGATTCTCCCACCTTGGCCTCCCAAAGTGTTGGAATTGCAGGTATGAGCCACTGTGCCAGGCCCAGAAGAACCTTTCTAACAAGCAGATCACAAGACTGGAGGGGCTACCCAGTAAGGCACAAGCTCTTGGTGCAAAGGGGCATCCAAGGGATAGGTGGCATGTGATGGCAAGGCCACAGTGGAGATCAGACTTTCCATAGGGAGAAGAATGTGACCCAAGGCTCTGGTCTGGGGCCTCCGGGCCTTTCCCTAGAGCAATGGGAGGTAACCTCTGCAAATAATTTTCAGCAGCATTTATTGTAATTCTCCTTTTGCCTGGGCCCTAGGGACAGCCCCATCACAATGGGAAGAAGTCACTGGCCTAGACAAAAACAGATCTGGCCCAGCAGGTCACTGCCTCCCCAGAGAATTCTAGCCAGATGGCTGGCTGTCCCTCAGCTTTTGAGGGATTGGAGGGAGGGTGCGAGTCTGCAGACCCAGGTTCAAGTTTCAGTCAGACATTTTCTTTTTTTTTTGAGTTGGAGTCTCACTCTGTCGCCCAGACTGGAGTGCAGTGGCACACTCCTGGCCACTGCAGCCTCAACCTGCTGGGCTCTGGCCATCCTTCAGACTCAGCCTTCCAAGTAGCTGGAACCACAGGCGCGTGCTACCACGCCCGGCTAATTTTTTGATTTATTGTAGAGATGAGGTCTCGCCAAGTTGCCCAGGTGGGTCTCGAACTCGCGGGCTCAGGCAAATGCACTCACCTCAGCCTCCCAAAGCGTGGGATTACAGGCTGAGTCACCGAGCCCGGCTGACATTTTCTTACTATGGGAACTTAGGCAGGTCCCTTGATCTCTGTGAGCCTCAGTTTCCCCTTCTGTTAAATGAGAATAACACTAACTACTTCACAAAATTGTGTGAGGATTAACTAAGATGATGCATGCAAAGCATTAGAGCAGAATTGCTAAGTGGCATGCACATGTTTATGATGATATACATTTATACAAGTTCTTTGGAAATTGTAGCTTACTTTGGCAACGAGCTATTATAAATCTTTGGTTTCCCTTTGATCTTTCTTGGTTCTGTGGAAGCCACTGTTTAGGTAAAGTATAAACTAAAGTTGTAAATGCTTAAAAGCATAGAGAGCATGCCTTGAAGATTGTCCAAGGGCAGTGACAAGACACTTTGTGGCAGCTGGAGTCTCTGTGACTCAAAGTCAGATGTGGGTCAGGAGGATTTCGGTGCTCTGGGAGTGGGCCCCTGCTTCCTCAGGAAGTGTAGAAGCTGGGCAGCCTGCTTCAGATGGCTAAGCCAGGGCTGGCTGGCTTGCGCAAGACTCCAGAAACAGCTTTCTGGATTGGCTGGAGAAGGTTTTTCCCGGTCCTGGGTCTGGAAGAGTGCAGGCCTACTGTAGGGTGAAGAAAAGCTTCAAGAGGAGAAGCCACATCCTTGCTTCCTGAGTCTTACACCAGCGTCCTCCTCAGGAGACTGGCACCCTGGTCATTGAAGCAAATGACATCCCCTCCCCCAACACCTCCAGCAGGGGCTGGCCCAGGAGAGAACTGCTATGTGTGCTAAAGCAAAACCACAGAATTAAAGAGCCCGAAACAGGTTCACCACAGCAGAAGAGGCCTGTGGGATCCCAGAGCCATGCTTTGACAATCTGTCCCTTCAAATTTCAGTCCAAGACATGTGGGAATTCTGTTATTGGGAGGGTTTCTCCTTGCTTCTAGTCTGAAGCAGTCTGTGTGGCAATTGCATCCACACAGGCTGCAATTTTCTGCACAGCCAAAGTTGTCTGGGTCCCTGGTAGATAGGGAGTGGGTGCTGGAGGAGAAGGGCAGAAGGAAAGAAATCCTTCAAAAGAAACTCTGAAAAAATTACTAATAACTATTAACAATAAAAGGTGTAGTTTTGTTTTTTATTTTTATTTTTATTTTTTTTGAGTTGGAGTCTCACTCTGTCACCCAGACTGGAGTGCAGTGGCACACTCCTGGCCACCCCTCAACCTGCTGGGCTCCAGCGATCCTTCCGCCTCAGCCTTCCAAGTAGCTGGAACTTCAGGCACGCACTACCACGCCTGGCTAATTTTTTGATTTATTGTAGAGATGATGTCTCGCCAAGTTGCCCAGGTGGGTCTCGAACCTCCAGGTTCAGGCAATTCACTCACTTCAGCCTCCCAAGGCACGGGATTACAGGTTGAGCCACTGAACCCGGCTAAGGTGCAGTTTAATAACAGTAATAGCATATAAACATGTGTGTATACTATTATGATAGCAATAGCATATGTATCTATACACATACAAACACATACACATTCAGAATAATGATATTATCAGGACAACTGCCATGTATTGAGATAAACTGTGTACCTGACATTATGCTAAGGGTGTCACATTCCTTTCCTCATTTAATTATGTATTCACTCCACATATATCCAATGTGCCAGGCAGGGCACTAAGGGACTGGGGACATAGGTGACAAAGAAAGGGTCTCCAACCTTAAGACCTGGTGGGTGGAAACTGACCAAGACAGGGGTAATAAGAATGCAACACCATCAGGCCTCCTTAGAAATGCTTGAAAAAGGCGTTGCAGGTCTGTAGAGAGTCTAGCTGGCAGAGTTCTAGAAAGCTTCCAGGAGGAGGCAGGCAAGAGGCGGAGTAGTGCCAGAGCTTGGCCAAGAGAATAAGCAGGAATTTGTCAGACGAAGGAGAGAGAGCAGACTCGTGTGGTGCTGCTGCCCACTCAAGCCCAAGTCGGGCCTCAGGGGAGCAGACAGGTGTGATCAGGAGGAAAGAGCCCCGGGCACTGTGTACAGGAGCTGGGACTGGACCAACCAGGTGGCAGGTGGCCACAGATGCAAGTGAGGGGCTCAGGCTTTCACTTAAAGTTCTCAGGTTTCAGAGAAGGGAGTAGGCACAGGTCTGCATACGGGACGCTAGGAAGGAGGCTGCTGTGATTTTCCAGTTGAGAGACGAGGCCTGGCCCAGGAGGTGGCAGTGAGAAAGGCCTGGGCCTGACGTGTGCGTCAGAGGCAAAAATGGCCAGCACAGTAACCGACTGGACCCCCTGGCCAAGACTGAGGAAGGGTGGAGCAACTGGGTACATGGTAAGGGGCCATCCACCAGGAAGGGAAGCTGGGGGAGAGAAGGGTCAAGGGCGGAGGTGCTCAATTTGCGACATGCAAAGCACCCAGATACAGAAGTCCAGGAGGCGCTTGGTGACAAGTCCTGCCCTTGCCTTTTGGCCTCCCTGTCAACTGAGCATGAGGTACTTTAGACACTCTGTGGCTCCATGCTGGGACCTGATTTTCCATGTTCTGGCAGGGGCAGCTGTGAGGTGGCCTATCCTAATTCTGCAGCATGGTGGGAGGGTGTGATCTCCTGGGCATTCCATGTTGGAATGATCTAGGATTTGGGATCAGGAAACTTCATTGATGAGCCAGATGGGGGCAAAGGATTCTGTTTTATGAAAACACCAGGGATAAAATCACTGATCTACCCAATTCACAGTACAAAAGCATTGTGTAAGAAGCAACAACAACACTGCATCTTCTCACTAACCTTCCTCATGGCAACGCTGAAAGTTGCATTTCTTGAGACCTTCCCATGATTGTCATCATACTAGCAGCTAATGTCTACTGGATGGCTGCAGGCATCGTTCTAAGCATCTTAGGTGTATAGATTCATTTAATCCTCATAATAACCTTAAGAAGTAGGTATAGGTTATTAACCTCATTTTACGAGGAAAGAAACTGAAGCTCAGAAAGATTAAGCAACTTGCCAAAAGTCACGCGGGATTACCGTCTGCACCCAGGCAACCTAGCCCCAGAGCCCCCATTCCTGCCCAAGCAATGCTGAGTCACACCCCTGGCTCTCTGCTTCCTGAGCAGAGGGCTCCTCCCGCTCATTCTCAGCAGGAGGGTAAAGGTTTAGTCACCAGAGCCCTGAGTGTACAGGCAGGAGGCCAGCCCATGGGTACCTAGCTCGTCGTGCAGGGAGGGCCCATTCCCAGCCGGGCTGGCGTCAGGGGCGGCAGGAGGTGCAGGCGGGCTGTTGTGGAACTCCCAGCGCTTCATCTGCAGCTGCTGAAGCCAGTACAGCATCACTTGCTTGGTGGCGGCCTGAGAAGCACAAGGATTAGTTGGCAAGGCCCCATGCTTGCAGGGTGGCACTGGGTGTGGGATGCGGGGCAGGTCGTGGAAGGCTTAGGAACACCGTTTCTCAAAAAAACAACAAAAAAACCTGTGAGTGGGTCCCCGTCTCTGCAATGCCACATGCTTCTTGGCTACAGAAGATGATCAGGCTCTGGTCTCCCACTCAGTTGTTCCTTAACTGCACTGAGCCTCAGTTTCCTCATCTGTACTATGGTGACAATAACACCCATTTCATAAGGCGATTATGAGGATGAAATGAGGTAAGGGAAGTAAAAGTGCTCTACACAGTACCTGGCATACAGCAGGTGCTCAAAATGTGCTCACTGGATAGAAGAATTTGGAGGTATTGTGAGAGGGAAAGAGCACTGATGTCTGACTTGGGTGGGGCCCTGGTACCATCACTATCTCCCTATGTGACATCTCCAAGTCTTTGCTGCCTTTTTTTGGAATGAGGGTAATCCCTTCTGCTTTGTGGATATGAATGGGGACTGGAAAGTCACATGCACACTAAGCCAACTTGGTGGCACCTCCTAGACCACCTAGTACTCCAAACAAGCTAATAGTAAATGCTAATCATTGGTCTCCCATCCCTGGACAGTCCAAACACTCACTTTCACATCCATTAATTCACTGGATGCTCCAGGGAGGAGCCAAGGCAGGAGTGGTCAGCCTTTCTACAGATGAAGAAACTATGGCTCTCAAGTCACCCAAGCATGTGGTGGTCGCATTGGTCCCAGAACCCAGGTCTCTCACTTCTTTTTTTGTTTTGTTTTGTTTTGTTGCTGGGCTCCGGCGATCCTTCCGCCTCAGCCTTCCGAGTAGCCGGAATTACAGGCATGCGCTACCATGCCCGACTGATTTTTTTAATTTATTGTAGAGATGAGGTCTCGCCAAGTTGCCCAGGCGGGTCTCAAACCCACAGGCTCAGGCAATCCACTCACCTCAGCCTCCCAAAGCGCGGGATTACAGGCTGAGTCACCGAGCCGGCTAGGTCTCTCACTTCTAGAGTTTTGTTGGAATTTATGGCCAGGAGACTTGCAACTTCATAAAGAAGGCCTGAGATCAGTTGAGGTGGGCTGCAGAAGACAGGTAGCTCTCTGGGTGTGGGGGATCTCACAGAGCTTCTCACAGTCAAGGCTCTATGAGAACAGCAGCAGGCTATGCGGCCACCAAGGCAAGCTCTCCTTCTTAGGGGTCTACAGGTGTGCCCTAGATTGTGGAGGGGGCTCTGAGAAAGAGACTCTCAGCCTTTCATGCAAGGATCAACAATGCACACCAGTTTCCCTTGCATACACTTCCTGAGAGAACTCAGCTCCTCCCAGGCCTTCGCCATGACCTTCAGGCTGCTGAGCTCCTGCCAAACCCAAATACCCCATTTGATTATGTTGTTTGGCAAGTGTACATGGAGCACCTAGAATACTAGGTATGTCAGGGGACTATGCTGGGCATCGAAGATATGGGGGTGTGGGGGGAACCAACACACATAGTCCCTGTCCTCTTGGAACTTAAAAGTCTACTCTAAGGGACAAGTATCTGGACGTCCCATGGACTCCTCAGCCTGAGTTCCTTCCTGTCAGTGACCCACCCATCCAGACAGTTAGCCAGCTACTCCAGCCATCTCTGATGTCACCCCACATTCTATTTTCCTGCTATCCTGAGTCACCTCTGTTTTCTCCCTCTCCAGGGCCACAGCTCTAGTTCAGCCATCATTCTCTCCTGATCACATCCTGATGGGCTCCCCGAATACCAGCTTGCCTTTGCCTGATTTGTTCTCTACCTAATGGCCAGCCTGAGCTTTCTAAACATTCCAGTCTCACAGCGCTTCCTTGGTTAAGGCTTTCTGACAACTTCCCACAGCCTGCAGGACAAGCTCTTTGGCCTAACTCACAAATGTCCCACTCTTGGGTCTCTGCTTTCCAATTCCATCCTTCGGGCCCCTTTGTGCCCCTGGCTCCTGTGATTTGTCTGGACAGTTGGGGCTATATCATGTTTTCCCATCTTTGCTCTCAGGACTCTCTTCGCCTGGAATACCCTTCTCCCCCTTGTCTATTTGTCACTTATTTCTTCTTTCAAGTCCCAGATGGTGTCCCTCCTCCATAATGTCTTTCTGGCTAGCCCTTCCCATTCAGTAGAACTGTTTTTTGCCGTCACCACACATTTCTTGTACAGACTTATCACAGTGTCTCTATAGAACATTTTAGTGTGCATGCCAGTTTCCCCATCACTTTCCCACCGGACTTTAAGATGCTTGAGAACGGGGTGCAGGGACAAAGCTGATTTGGCTCCACACCCCAGAGCCTAACACAGAGCCAGGCACATACGTGTATCAAAGGAGTAGTAAAGACCATGTGTTGGACACCCAGTATACAGCACTCAATGGAAGAAGACACATGACCCAGGAACCACGTGACCTCTAAAATGCCTTCCCTGGCCTGGAACTCCTGGGTTCTGTTATTTTAACTGAGCCTCCCAGCCAAGCCCATTCAGTAAAAACGATAACTGAACCAGTTAGGTGGAGGTGGAGGTTGAGGGGTAGACAGACGCAGGTGGGGTGGGGGCAGCTACCTCCTGGCACACTGTTCTCTGATGCCCACAGAACTTGTAGCCCAGATCTGGCTTTCCAATTAAGTTATGGAAGCCGGGCTCGGTGGCTCAGCCTGTAATCCCCTGCCTTTGGGAGGCTGAGGTGAATGGATTGCCTGAGCCCGCGGGTTTGAGACCCACCTGGGCAACTTGGTGAGACCTCATCTCTACAATAAATCAAAAAAAAAAAACTGGCCGGGCGTGGTAGCGCACACCTGTAGTTCCAGTTACTTGGAAGGCTGAGGTGGAAGAATCGCCGGCGCCCAACAGGCGAGGCTGCAGTGGCTGGAAGCGGCCACTGCACTCCAGTCTAGGCGACAGAGTGAGACTCCAACTCAAAAAAAAAAAAAAAACAACCAATTAGGTTATGGGACATCTCCTCCTAACATGAGCATTCTGACCTTGGTTCCATCATCCTTTGTGTCCATGTGTGTTTATTCAACCAACATTTATTAAGCACTCACTTAATAAATGCCAGGCTGTATTCTAGGTGCTGAGATTAATTTAACAATGTAGGTACCTGTGATATGCCAGATGCTAAAAACTACCTAAGTTCTGAAAGTTTAAGTAACTTGTCCAGGGTCACACAGCCAGTAAGTAGAGAATGTACAATCTGAATCCAACCCTGTCTGATTTCAAAGAATGTAGGCTGGGCGTAGTGGCTCATGCCTGTAATCCCAGCACTTTGGGAGGTGGAGGTGAGAGGATTGCCTGAGCCCAGGGGTTCAAGACCAGCTGGGGCAACACGGCAAGACCTCGTCTCTACAATAAATCAAAAAATTAGCCAGGCGTGGTGATGCATGCTTGTAGTTCCAGCTACTTGGATGGCTGAAGCAGAAGGATCATCTGAGCCCAGCAGATTGAGGCTGCGGTGGCTGTGAGTGTGCCACTGCACTCCAGCCTGGGTGACAGTGAGACTCCAACTTAAAAAAAAAAGAATGTGGACTTTCTACTGCTTCAGGCTTTCTCAGTAAAACATATCCTCTGCTGTTGACAGGAAAACAGGTTTAGACATGCCCATGTGAACATCTAGGTTGATCAGTGAAACCTACATGTTTATCTGCCCAATCCCTGCCAATGTCTTCCCAGCATTCACTCCCCTTGGTCAAAACACCAAGAAAAGTGAATCAGAATCAGTCCTTGAGAGAGGACTGCAAAGATCATATCTTGACTTACTTCGCTTCCAGGTAAGAAAGTTAAGGTAACTGCATTGTTGTGCACACCCTCCCCCCCAAATTTTGATACAGCTCTGAGAGGTAGAAAGACTATGGGATTCCAAGTGTGTAGTACACCACTATCTAGCTGCATGACCTCAGGCCAGTCCCTTCGTCTCTGTATGACTCAGTTTTTGATCCATAAAATGGGTCCACCATCCCTTCCTTATGGGAACCAATGAGAAAATGGGTGCGCTTTGGGAAAGCACAAAGTTCCTGAAACACGTCGCTGATCACTGATTCAGTCAATTCACTGCGACCACACACCCGCGCCCAGTCGTGCCCTGGGAACTGGGACCTCACCCTGGCTGGAAAGGAGAAAAGTCTTTCATTTACCTTCAGGGTAATAACCCGGCTAGGCGTCTTGATTTCAAAAGTCCCCTCCTCAGCGTCCGCCTTGCAGTCAAAGACCGCACTGGAGAGATCAATGCTGTCCAAGGGGTTAGCATCCTGAGCGGTCCGCGAGTAATACAGGTGACATTTCCTCTCGTCGTAAAAGAACCAGCGGGATTTCCAGCCCCGGATGGGCCCTTTGCCGCCAAACTTACTTAGATACCCACAGAGTTTCTTGGGAGCCGCTCCCAGGGGCCGGGCGCAGTCCTCCGATCCCTCGGGGGGCAACCCCTCGGGGTCCCTGCCCGAGCCCGCGGGCTCTTCTGAGCCGGGGACGGAGGGGCTGGACTCCGGGGCGTTCTCCCGAGGGACGCCCTCCATCGCTCCAAGCCGGCGACCGCGGAGGGACAAGAGGCCGGTCGGTCCGCAGGACCACTGAGTTGGACAAATCTCGGGGACCCGGCGGGCGCCTTCCAAAAGGCAGACACCTGGGAGGGGGCGGAGTCAGTGGTGGACCCGCCCCCAGGAGACGGCCGCGACGCGGCTGACTGCCGTGTGGGCCGGTCCAAGACCGCAAGCCCGGGTTGAAGCGGTTGGCCCCGCCCCTCTCGCCGCCCGGCCACGCCCCGACAGTCAACTGTGTGCTCCGCCCACCCCCAACTACTTCCGGCTCCGCGCCAGTCACCCATCTTTACTGAGGGCTGCTGTTATGCCTGGCCTCAGATTAAAGGCGTGGTGGCACCAAGCTAGATTAACCATGGAGAGAAGCCTGTCTCTGGCTACACTGCCCCGGCGGCTCGCGCGAAACGTGGACAGATGGTGTCTTCTTGCGCCTCATGGGCCGTCCGCCTCTTCCTCCAGGTGCCGCCCTCGGACAGCGCATCATGCGGCCATTGGCGCGGAGGTCCCACTTCCGGCGCCGCTCGGGACGCGTGCCCCGTGGCCTTGTCCGCCCACCTTTTCTCCGAGGTGTTGGTTCAGCACCCCAGGGAGTGTCAGCGGACTGTCGTTCGGTCCCTCGGCTGACCGCCGAGCCTCCCCGCCCTGTGTCCTGGCTCCCATTTGTCTCCTAGCAGCCACGGTCGCGTGGCACGGGGCGCCCGGGCCCGGCCGCTGAGCGAACCCGGTGCCACGCCTGGGGCGTGGTTGGGCGCAGTACGTTTTGCAAAGGGTCTGACTGATTTGCTCAATTTATGCCGCATTTTGCCCTTTCCTTTTAAGCCACCCTTGCCCCCAGTCTAAGGCGCATTTCTCTACTGGGGCTGTAGAGCCCATTTTGGCCCAGCCCTCTTTAGGGACTTCATCCTGCTTTTCTCTTGCCCTTTGTTCACCCCCTCCTTTTAGTTCGTCGTCCCTCCTCAGCCATCCCTCGCGAGACCCTCAGGCACGCTCAGAGGTAAATAGTGAGAAGCGAGGCGGGACGAAGGCGGGGCCTCGGGCGTCTGTTTGCATCATTTTCGGATTCCCACTCTGCTGTGCTGAGCGATTCATCAACTTTGCAAACTTTTCTCATCTATAAAAGTGGAACTTAAGCCGGGCTCGGTGGCTCAGCCTGTAATCCCGCGCCTTTGGGAGGCTGAGGTGAGTGGATGGCCTGAGACCGATGGGTTCGAGACCCGCCTGGGC